GAGCTGTTCCAAGGGAGAAAGAGATGGCAGTCTGTTGCCGCTAAGTTTACAGCCCAGGAAACTCAACAGGGCAGCTATCTTCTCCATCCTGTAGGGTTGCTGTGAGTCTCAATCAACTGCACGGCACACAACAACACAGATAAACACCGCAGAACTCCCTTTAGAGTGAAACTAAAGGCAAGCAGAAATCCCACATATGCAAATTTTCCTCAGGGAACAGTGAGTTCCAGATTAGACCCCCTCCCTTGGCAATCTAAAGTGGATTTTCTCGCTCCTGCCTCTCTGAGGTTGAAATTAACTGGTCGACTCAAGTTCAGAAGAAGGCTGACATGTGCCATTCTCTCCATATGCCTGAGAGAAAACGAACCCTATCATAGGTTTAATTTAAAAGGTTCAATATAATCAGTTTTAGCCCAGAGGAGATCAGACAATTACTTGTAACACTGAATCTGTTCATTAGAAGACAGAACTTAGCCAAAGATGACAATGATTAAGTAATACTGGAACAGAGCATGAAAAAAAAGACTAGCTAAAAACTAATATGATTATGATTAGCGATCTTGCAGAGACAAGGAAGAATGCCATTTGGTGTCGTGGCAACAGCACAGGCTATGGCGGCAGACGACCTGGGTAGGAACAGTGGGTCTCCAAGTACTGTCACTCACCATTCACAGAAGCAGAAGCTAAAAGCTACAACAAAAATCACCCAAAAACCTGTTACCATGGAGTCAATTCTGACTCACAGTGACCCTACGTGTGTCAGAGCGGAACTGTGCGCCATAGAAATTTTGATGGCAGCTTGTTCAGATTTATTATGGCGTCGGGCCTTTCGGCTGAGGTGTCTCTGGCTGGACTCTCTGTCAGCAGCAGAGCGTGTGACCAAGTTTGCAACTCCCAGAGACAACTGGTCAGAAGTTACTGCCTGTGAATTCACTGCAAGCCCACTTTCTCCCTCATTTGTAAAATGGGGATTTACACTACCTGATTCCCAGGGTGGTTAAGAGAATTAAATAGGAAAACGTGAAACATCTTCGTGCACAAAAAAAACTAATTGCCATCGAGTCAATTCTGAATCATAGTGACTCTACAGTACAGGGTAGAACTGCTGCCCTGTAGGCTGCCGAGGATGTAAATATTTACAGGAGCAGAAAGCCTCGCCTGTAGCTTTTGGTCTGGCTGGTGGGTTTGAACTGCAGATCTTGTGGTTAACAGCCAACCAGCAATCCACTATGCCATCAGGGTTCTTTCTTCAAGTACAGGGATTGCTTTATAGCACCTCTCAACAAACATTCACAAAAGCCTAGGGGTAGGGGGTAAGGGTGGGTAATAGGGAGGTGATGTCAAGGAGTTTAAGAAGGAAGGAAGTAGTAGCAATTGTATAATGCTGCTTGGTGTGACTGAACTGTGGAATGATGCATCTGTATTAGCTCCCAATAAAATGTGTTTTGGGGGGGAAATAAGTAAATAAATAATTTAAAAGCCTTTTTTTTTTTTAAGCCTATTTAGGGAATCATTCCATTCTTCATGTCCACATTGCCAGCTCTAGGGTGGTAGAATGATAAGCGAAACAGAAATATATATTTTTTAAATTAAAAGAATTTTATTGGGGGCTCTTATATCTTTTATTACAATCCATACATCAATTGTATCAGGCATATTTGTACATATGTTGCCATCATTCTTTTCTAGACATTTACTTTCTATTGAGTCCATGGTATCAGCTCCTCTTTTTTCCTCCCCCCCTGGTGACCCCTTCAGAGATTATAATTATTATTTTCAAAGCTCACACCAACTGCTATCTCCCATCCCCCATGGTTTCTGTTGTTCTTCAGCAGAAATGTATTCTAACATCTCAAAACTCCTGTTTCCTCTAACTAAAGCATGCCTTTCTGAGTTGTGCGCCTACGATAATATAAACACTTTTTTTCCCTACTGACTTTGAGGAAGTTACAAGAAGGTTGGCCGGGCTCAGGCAATCATCATTAGCAACACACATTTTAGTGTTAATTATGCACCAAACAGTGTTCTACATACTAGGGATACATTGAACACTAAGAAAATGAAAACCCTTCATGAGTACATATTCTAGTGGAATAAAATGGATAACTGAAGATTCTAAATAAGTGGAGCAAGCTACTTTATACTACATATTTTTTATTAAAACCCAAGATTCTCTTCTACATGCAATTTTTCACTATTTGACATCTCTTGAAACACTTCTCATATAATACCACAATGCCAAACCAAATAATTTTAGGACAATGAAATAATATTTGTGACTTGTGTGAGTGATAATTAAATTCATTTTCCTGCTTCTGATTGCATAGCATTAATAGCACCAATGCCAGTGTAAATAATGAGGATTTCAAATGAAAGTGACAGTGCCTGTAGGGTTACTGCTTCATCAAAGCAATGTCTCATCTATCTAAACTCAGTCGCCATTCAAACCAGTCTCTCAAAGGTTCCTCACACCTGTCTTTGACTTCATGTATCACATAAGACTGAGAGATTATAAATATAAACAAGAGTCTATAAATATTAAAATACCAGCAGCACAAAAATACTAGATGATGCATACAATAACATCGCAAAATGGGCAAATGCTTTGTGTTTTTAACTGCATTCACATATCAATGTCCTCTGTTATTGAAGAATAGTTTGTTGCTAAACAAGGAGTGTTTTCAAATTAATTTTTAAAGCCTGATAGATGTACTGTAAACCCTATAGAATAATCAACTATGTTTATCTTTTGGGTTAGAGCAACATGTTTGAAAAAATGGTTGGGGAAATTTAGGGAAGCCCATAGCAACAGAAAGGAGCCCTGGTAGCAACCTGGGTTAAGCATTGGGCTGCTAACCGAAAGGTCAGTGGTTTGAACCCACCATCTGCTATGTGGAAGAGGAGGAAGCCTGCTTCTATAAAAAAGTGCAGCCTCGACTCTCATTCTCTCTCACACACACTCACTCTCTCACCCACCCACTCACTCACTCTCTCTCACCCACCCACACACACACAAAAAACACACACACACACACACACACACAAAGTGCAGCCTCAAATTGTACAGAGCGATTCTACTATGTCTTTTAGGGTTACTAGGTGTCAGAACCAACTCAACAGCCGTTTTCCTGGTGGGGGGAATAGCACCATGTGACTCCACTGAGACAGATGAGCTTTTAGAATCCACAGGAGCTCCCATCTTTGAGCTGACCAGCCCAGGCCATAACCTGCTATTGTTACCTACTGGTGATCTGAAACACTAATTTTTGGGTCCAGACTTTGCATGGAAGACTTTCCATAAAGCCTCAAGGTGACTTGCCCTGGGGGAGAAGCTCACTTTTATTTTTGGTCACAGAACAATATACTGAGAAAAATCTAGTCATTGCATTTACACCTCTCAAGAGTCATGAAAGAGTATTTAAGTCATCACGTAAGCAATGCAGGCAGTTCACTTGATGTGTCATTTCCAAAAAGCTCTGGCCATCCTCCCTCTGACTTAAGACACTATGTCACACGATACTATGTCTTACGCAGATGTTCAGCCGTCCTGATGGGGTAGTCTTTCAAAGAAAAGAAGTCTTCCCAGAAGCATATGTGAAATTAAAAATCTGGAACGGTCAAAATACATAACCTGAGATGTTTCTTGATCTGCTATCTAATTAGAGCTGAAATCTCAAAGAAGAAATGATTCCAACTCTCAGAAATTTCTTTGCTCATTACTACCTTCATCTTACTTTTGACTCAAATCAAGACAGACTCACTATAGCCTCTTCACAAGCCATAAAAAGCAGACACAAGTGGGGATATGCTGGCATAGCGATGCTTGAAAAGGGAGGAGGTGAAGGCTCACCTCAGATGCCATTCCATCGGCAGGACTCTGTCCCTTTCTGCAGAAAATCCCACCCTTCTCTCATGACTCGAGGAGCCCGGGTAGCGTAGTGGGTTATATCGTGGCCTTTGAATGGTAAAGTCAGCATTTCAAACCCACTAGCTGCTCCTGGGAAGAAAGACAAGGCTTTCTGTTCTTGTAAAGATGACAGCCCGGGAAGTCCAAAGGAGCCGTTCTACTGTGTCCTACAGGATCACTACCAGTCGGAACCCGCTTGAGGGCAGAATTTGGGTGAGGGTTTTTGTTGTTGTTCTCAAAACTCAGTTCAAGTTCTACAATTTCCACAGCTATGGCCTTGTTAGTGAGGCCCACACACTTCTGCCTACTGGGCACAATCCCCGCTAAATATAATGAGGTACATAAACACACCTCATATGTAATTATTCTGATTCCACACCAATTTCCTGAGGCCCTCATACATCTCACAAACAAAACAAACAAAAGCCCTTCAAATTCACTGCTATTGAGTCGATTCTGACTCACAATGAGTATTGAAGGACAAGGTAGAAGTGCCCCCTGTGAGTTTCTGAGATCTCTACTGGAGTAGAAAGCCCCATCTTTTTCCTGAGGGGCTTTGAACTGGGCTGATCTTGCTGTTAGTAGCCCAACTCGTAACCATGACACTGTGTGTCTACTGGTTAATATTTTAAACCCCACAACCTACTAAGTAGCCTTTAAGTAACATTTCGAGCATTAACAATAAGCCATTTTATTAAGGTACACACATGCCATCAGCCACCTTTCTCAGAGTCTAAAATCAAGCTGTTCACAGATGAGGAGTCCAGGTCTGGGCATGTTCCCCAGCCTCAGCCATCAGTCCTTAACTGAATCTGTGGTCAGGACAGGAGTGGAGTCACTCCCTGTCAAATGTCCAAGAGGAAGACGTGGGGATGTCAATTCCCATTGCTCAGCTACAGTCTCTCCGTGGGCTGTGAAAAGCACTAACCAGGAATCCAGGCCAAAGTCCCAACAACACTGCTTACTAAGTGAGTGAGTGGGACCTATCTGACCCTCCAATTTCTCCACTTGCAAAACAAGACACTTAGGGCTGTATCACATCAGACTGTGGCTGGCATAAAGTGAGATCACACTCTTTCTTAGAAGATAATAGCTAGTTGTGTGCATCTTATCTACAGACCAGATCATTTAATGCTGGTTCGTCCATCCTCATTCTTATTCTGTGGTCCTCTGAGAACAGGGACCAGAACGCTGGGAAGGACTGTCACCACTCCAGCCAGAGAGAGCTGGCTCTGCATGCCCTGGAAGAATGACAGCCTCTAGGCGGAGCTGCCCTGCCCATTAGCGGGCGGGCGGGCGGGCGAGTAAGTGGCCGGAGCCCAGTCCATTCTGGGGACAGGGACAGCGCGCATTGTGTGAGCGCCGACGGGGCGGGGCAAGGCGGCGACACTCACTTGTTCCTGCGGATCCAGTTGATGAGGGCGCGCACCTCGGGCACGTCGTCCAGGCCCGGGGGCTCGCCGGTGCCGAACTGGTCCGGGAAGCTGCGGTTGAGGTCGCGGCCGCGGCTGTTGTCGCGGCCCGTGGGCCCCGGCGGGTCGCCGTCCCCGAGGCCACAGTCCCCCTCGTGGGCGCGCTCGAAGCCGTCGGGGTTGAGGCTGGGCATCACGTACACGTCGGTGGTGTTGAGCAGCCGCACCAGGCGCGGGTCTCCCCGCTTGTAGCCGGCCACCAGCTCGCGGGCCAGGTAGATGAGCACCTGGCGCGACACAGTCTCGTCGCCGTGCATGTTGCCCA